ATGTAAATTTATGCACTTAAATGGAATAATATGTAAATTACAAAAACGAAGTAGAAAAACAAAGAAGAAAATAGTATCGTTGTGTCGGGAAAGAAACCACTACCTTGAAATCAATTTCGACACGATTTTAGTGCTAAATCGACCCGTTGTTCGAGTTACCCAAACCCCAACCCGCCCGTTGCTAAATTGAACTTGGTACTACCCTGTTTTTAGAAAAACATAAGTACCTTAAAACGCATGCTAAACAATAGCGAGTCTTATTAGAAAAGAACAGTGAATAATATTCTCTCGTAATTGTTAAGATAACACATTAGTTAAGATTCGTTAGATTCAGAGTTCAATAAACTCAAACAAACATCCAATTGTTTCAGTCAATCAATAAGATCTGATTAGAATTAGTGAGCCTAAAAGAATTGTCATATCAAGTACATTGAAACTTTAATCTCAAAGTAAACAATACCGTAACGAAATTTTTAAAAAAATAGCGGAGTTTCCATAGTGCTGAAATTGCATGCATACAATATTTATTTAAAGCCAACAGAAAGGCAAGCAACTTGGCATCAATCTCTCTCGAAGATTTGTGCATGTTCATGACTCTTCACGTTAACTTTGATAACTGACATGTGAGTTCTTTTCATCCATAGAAGCTTCTCTCTTCACTTTCTACACACTCACTCCAAACTATTATAAATAACCCCAAAACCCCTTTTAACTTCTACCACCATTACATAGAATTCCTCATTTCAAAATCCCATTTCAAAGATTTCAAGTTCAAAACCATTTTCTTTGTTCAAAATGGCACCACATGGAGAGGCCATTTCAAGGAGCAACAACTTCTCCAAGCCACCAAGGCTGTCATCCAATGCCCTCCAAAGAACAATCTCAGACATCTCCATGGAGTTGGGCAAGGAGTTGGCGATAGCCTCGGACGCCAAACAAGGAGCACTTCCACCGATATCCGAGGTCGAGGACGCGCGGTGCGAGTGCTGCGGCATGTGCGAGGAGTACACGCAGGAGTACATCGATCGGATGCGGGACAAGTTCCTCGGGAAGTGGATATGCGGGCTCTGCGCCGAGGCCGTGGAAGGGGAGGTGGAGAAGCTTGGAGGGAGTAGAGAGGAAGCGTTGAATGCACACATGAGCGCGTGCGCGAGGTTTAACAAGCTGGGAAGGGCTTATCCAGTGTTGTTTCAGGCTGAGGCAATGAGGGAGATGCTGAAGAAGAATAGGATGGATGGCAGAGGAGGCTTTAGAGCCAAGTCTTTGAGTCCTAGAGACAAAGCTGCAGCTCAAAAGAAAGGTGGAATTGCAAGGACTTCAAGTTGCATTCCAGCCATCACAAGATCAGAGGATATTACCAATCTAAAACTCAAAAACTAATTAATTTTGCCACAAATCTCCTAATTTTAGCCACTCCATTAGGGTCTTTGAGGCTTCTCCACCTAGTTTCATCAATTCATATTTGAAAGGTAACTTTTTTTTCTAGGTGGTTATTCTAATCTTTTTCCTCCCTTCCATGGGTAGTTTTTTTCTGCAGTAAAAAAGGGTACCTTAACTTTAGTATGCATTAACAAGTCAGTACATTCCTAGAGGTTCAGTGTCAATTATGACATGGTTGGATGGGAAGATTTGGCTACCAAAAACCACTTATATCCAACCTTAGGTCTTCTTTATTTCTAATCAATTAACAGTATGTATCTTACTATGAAGCTTGTTTAAATAAAATATGTCAATTTTTTATAATATGGTCCTTTTCAAGGCCTAATTGGCAAGCTCTCTGACCAATGATTTGTTTGTTTGCTGTTGTCAAATGGGCCACTGAAATTAACTAAGAAAACTAAGCACATGAAACACAAAAGATGAACAAAGATTCAGAGTACTGGAGCAGTTTGTCTCTCTTACTTGGGATCCATAGTTTACATGAATAAGATAAATAAAATAAGAGATCTAGCAGTAAATAAGTCTTCAACTTCATTGGGCAAATCTTAGCATCAGACAAAAGACCAGTTCACAAACATAAAGCAGATGCAGTGTGCGTTTTCCTCTTCGTTCAGTACCTTCCAAGCCACAGCTCTTTCGTACGACACAGGTCGACCCATGCTCGATAGGCATATACCTCCTTGAAGACAAGCAAATCCCTAGAGCACGTATAAATAGCAACTTAGAGATGGTTGTTTTGGACAATATACGATGGATTTCTATTGTAAAAAAGATCGAGAAAGAAGACCTGTTGCATTATCTGGGGGAATTCGGAGCAGAGCGTCTTTTTTCCATGGTCATCGAATATCTTTTCCAAAGTTATGTCTTGTAGCGCGACTAAGGTGGTTTCAAGCATGTCGAGGCCTGCCTGGTTTGCAAAGGTAAACACTGGCAATGCCTGCATAGACTACAAAAGTTTTTTAAGCAAGAACTGCACAAAAATGCGAGGATAACGTCGTTGGAAAAGAACCTTATATGTAAACCGAAATGAGTTAGTAACAAGCTGTGCAAAGTTCGTTAACTTTCATATCCAAATCCTAGAGTTCGTTTTACTATCTTCTATACCAGCGAGAAATGCATTGAATATACCAATTACACTTTCCAAAAGGTAAGAGTTTTAACATCAGTGGAAGTGTAGAGCTAAACAAGTTCGAAACTAACGGATTATCACCTTCCCCAGATTCTACAGTTATTCTTATTAAATGTAATGCAAATGTTAGCTCAATGTAAATTCGGCAAATATACACACCTTTAGAGAGCAGCACATGATTGCGTCGGAGTGATGCCATAAAGTTTTCAGGACAAACTCCCCCCCTTCATTTCCAGATTTTAATAGCTCCACACCCAAGTAGCACCTGTAAACAAAGTTCAAGCACCCAACCCCAACAAATCACATATTTGAAGTTTTCCTCAAGTAAATTCGAAGCTTCAGAATTCACGAGTCGAGCAAGAAAGACATTTCCTTAAACTTGATCAAATAAAAACGAATATTGTTCCTATAGCAGCATGAAGAAGGGATATTCTAACCAGACAGTAGAACTGTAGAAACATATTTTGGAGAGAAATTATACCTGTAACTGTTGCAGATCCAACGAGCAAGTGTTTGTGCTTCAGGAGTACCAAGTGGAGATCGTAGTCCAGCGTGTGAACTTAAATGAGAAGGTGAGAGAGCTAATGCAACCCTTTGAACCGATGATATAATACTACGTACATATTGCCTAGCCATAGATGCCACATGTTCTTGCATATGACTCTCATATGCAAACTCAAATGCAATTGTCATTACAGACCGTGTACAGCCAGAATTTGCACAGTCATTTGATGCTCTATTTCCAGCAGGCCCAATCTCAAGAGCAGATGCAAGGTCGAGCGTACGATTTGGGCTGGATGCTTCCTGAAACATTTGCTTGATAATATTAAAACAATAATAATAATAATAAATCTCAAATCCTGCCATGCCCCATCCTTTGATTCACTAAATTACCCTTTACTAGTGGAAAAGGTTAACACCAAAAACCTAATCCCAAAGATAAACACAGGAGGAAATTTCATATTGATTAAATTGCCAACCTTTCCAGAATCAAGTGGTATGATTCGAAACCCTGAGGGTAAAAGAGGAGCATCATCAGCAAAAGAGGCATCGATTGGAGCAAATATTAGTTCAGCACATGTGCCAATGGCATTTTCATCCATTCCACTGCAGAGCTATCATAACAGAAAACAAAAATTTAGGGGCCTAGACCAACTATACTGTAAAACAGCTGCAGGATGAATCTATCAAAACGGAGATAGTGAGAAGCGGTAACATTTTAATGCATAATCCTCACTCTACAACTGTAGTAATATTTAAATAAAAAGTTTTTTTAAAAACCCCCCATCAACTACATTGAACACCGTAACAGGCCTATTTCGGTGCCTGATGATTTAAAGAATGGTATTTAAACAAACTCGTAAAAAACTCATTTTTGTAGAACAAAGGACTTGGTATCGTATTGTGCAATTCTATTTACATATTATGTTGACATGAAGACTTCTGCAACAAGTAAACTCGGAATCTAGACAAGCACAAAGTTACCAACCTAGCCAGAGATTTTCAATTAAAAGCACAATCTTCAAAAATCAAGTAAATGAGATGAGCGACCTACTTAAGTAGTACTTACTTGCAGAAGAAACATCTCCCTAGGCATCATTGCATCTTCAGGAGTGTGGCCAACGCCTTCCAATTTTATCACTTCAAGAAACTGAAGTCAGAAAAATGTAATCCGGAATTATTAACTGCGAGAAAGAGGCCAAGAAGGGAGGACCTTAAGAGAAATATTTCATTGCAATATTTTCATGTTGCAACTTGCCTCTTCGTGCTCAATGGTGTGAGCCAGTGGAAGAATTACTTGATTCCCAAAACTTCCAACTCTAGACCCTGGTAAGCTCCATGGGCCAACCTTAACAGCAGCAGCTGAATAAGCATCAATGTTGTTGTCTGCCCATTCTGATCTGTGCTCCCGCAGGAACCTCAGTAGAATTGCAGGAGGCACATTCTGCAATGCCAAAATTGAAGGTAAAATAGAAAATTAGAAATTACATAAAAGAATTAATTATCATGCTCAAGTGGATTTACCATTATGAAGAATGAAAAGGAAATGCTCTGACACAATAGTTTTATTGCATGAGAATTAAAAACTGTGGGATTAATTTCAAAATGTTGTGCTAAATATTTTCTAGTCACTGCTGTGGGAAAGCGTTATAAGTAAGAATGAAAGTAACAGCATATGAACTTCTGCCTGCAAGTGAAGATGAAGGTTACGTCCATTTATGATGCTTCAATGAAACATTTCCTGTCAATTCATCAACCAAAGAAAAAACACGCTATTATACCTGCAACAGCATCGATGCTCTAGCACATAAAACTGCATTACTGATGGCAGAAAATCCATTGGCAAATGAAATGTTCAATCCCATTAACTTGTCAGGAGATGAATTTACAAGAATAGTTACATCATCCATGCCATCATTTCCCATCACAGACCACCCTTCGTCATTAAACCCATTAAGTGCCTCATTGAAACCCCTACAAGATATTCCCAGCTTTAAACAATCAGCAAAGCTACATCATTAAAGCAGATATAGATACTTAATTACTGTATGCTAACCGGGTTAGCCTTTGACCAAGTGCACGTAAGGCTGCAGGACGTCTACCCCAGCCTGTTACATTTGACTGTGAAACTTCATGAGCTATCTGCCTCAATTGGCGTAGAGCCTGAATAAAAATAAGAAAAACAACATATTAATATATTTTTTTATATATATTTAGTAAAATGCATAAACTCGTCACTGAATTCTTCACTACTGAAGATAGTAATGGGCACATCCTGCACTCTAAATCCTTTAGAGAATGTCAATAAGTGATCTTACCGCCATAGTCATTTTTTGGGCAAGAACAGTCGATGATTCATACAATGGACGCAATACTTCTGGAACACTCCATGGCTGTTTAATGAATCGAGCATGCTCAAATTAGTCTTTGCATGAAAATTTAACGATAGGTTTATTTGAAAGAAGATGATCTATTGAGAAAAAATACAAGTGTATATACTACCTCCAGATCCATATGATCAACAATATGAATGATGGAACCACCTCCTTCACATGGTCTTATCAGATATCCACTCGGCAGCATCTCTGCTCTAACAAAATGCTGCACTGGAGGCATGGTTGGACCATTCTGAGTGTTCTTAAGTGATCTCACACAGATCTGCATACATCAAATCGCCAGAGATTTCAGACAACCAGCCCAAACGAATAAATGTAGTTGAAGGAAGGTGTATCCTATCAATCCAAAAATTGCGTACCACAAGGCTACCATCTTCCAAAACAGAAGTGTAGCGCAACAACCAGAAGTCCCGTGCAGGCGCCAATGTTGTAGGCGCATAGAGCTACAAGACAAGGGTGAGAGATATATCAATGTGACTGAGATGCTTGAGAGCCAAGAAGAGACATGAAAGTCATTTAGACATAAGTAGTAACCTGCATATAAAGCAGCTCAATGGTTCCACCATTTGCTGTTGGCAGCACATTTAGAACATCCACAGCTCGGCAATCGCGAAACCACGATGGCTGATCCTTGAGGATTTCAGCAACCTGAAAGTTGTATTAGTCATTATTTAAGTCATAAGCCTAAACTCGAATGTTGATTCAAATTTAATAGTCATGGCACTTACTCTAGTAGGTTCTAGACCCACCAGGCCGCAGGCACGTGCAGCCACACCAGGGCAACCATGAGAAATAGCAACGATTCCAATGGAATCCGGACCAGGCTATACAAGGAATACAAAGCAAGAATCATGGTTGTTAAAAAGGTTGTCTTTATCCTACCCAATTTAGCCCATTCTAATTTAGACAGAAACTTATTAAAAAAGGAAATCACGCTAAATCTCAAAAATAAGTTAAAGAAATAAGGAAAATTAAAAAATTAAAAACAAACAAACAAACCAACAAAAGTAATGATAAAAGGCCCAAGGGTCTGACATTTGGGAATGTGATATTGGAATAAAATGAAATAAAGAATTTGGAGTAAATTTAAAATATTTACTGACCGTAGATTAGCATAACGAAGTCAATTGTCAGACAAGCACAATTTAACATTTAATGAAAAGGAGGGCAAAGCGACACCTTCATTCCAGGCATTTGGACCCACTCCACGGCAGTTCCAGTGGCCTTTGAAAGAAACTCTGTTAAAGTCTCTTCTGCGATGGACAAAAGTCTGAAAAGATACGGAAAATTAATTAAATCATCTGCAAACCCGGACAGCAATGTGGTCACAGATTACGATATTAGAAAAGGACCCAACAACCAAATGCCCACTAAC